TTTTATCGGAGCATGTTTGTTTGAATGTTCACCACAAGTACTTTGTGTGGTCAATGCAGTTTCTGTTTGGTATTTGAACATCTTAACACCACCTGTTTTCATTGCCGGAAAGGGTAAAAGCTATTCTTATTTTTTCATACTTTGATACTGGCAAAAATGGTCCCATTTTGTAGCGAAACACTGGGGAGATGCCCCCCCCCCCACCCCGTTACACAGGCCCGAGCCCTGCGGTGGAAATTCCACATTCCTGTGGTGGTGGGGGTGGCGGGCGGGGGGGGGGCGAATTAATTCGCGTGATATCTGCGGTTAACTTCCCACCGGCTGAGCGAGCGTTGCCTGCTTTGAACCGTTGCCCCGAGGCGACCGGGGGTTTGAACTCGCACACTCGCAGTTACCGTGGCCTTGCGCCCCAGCAATGCCCCCCGACCGTTGGCCAAACCACCCCCGGAATTCACACGCGGAGGCAAAGGCGCAGGCTTGCAAGTTCCCTCTCGCGTATCTGCTGGTGGAAGAGGGTCTCAGTTCAAGGAAGGTCTCGAGAGCCTCGCTCTGGTTGAGGGTATTTAAACTTTTAATGGAATACCATCCAACCTAAACTACACTCTATAATAGAGGGGTCGTTAAACCCTCCACCACTCACCTACTAATGCACCCACTCACTCAATCACTCGTATTTTAGCCAACTCACTCACCCACTTACTCACCCACTTACTCATTCACCCACTCACTCACCCGGTTTTTAGGCGTAGCAGTAGTAGTAGGAGTAGGCTTTCGCGACCAATATTATCCATAATAGAGGTTTTTTGGGTTTGATCGCGTAAATATCAATGCGTCATTAAACCCGCCACTACCCAAAACAGCCAATTAGTGAGGTTTGTCACGTAAACAACACATGGCAATTAGTTACTAGTTCAGCACACCAGTTGTGTGTTGGAGAATAAAGCCACAACATCTACAATTCGAGTACGCGATAGAGTGAATGGAACCATGTCGCAGCGTGAGTAGGAATAAGCGGTTTGTACGGCTTCCTCCGCGTAGCATCACACGAGGCACTGGGATGCTGCTGGATGCTTCTAGAAGCTATCCCACGCCCTCAGTCTTTGTTGAGCCTTCGTGCGCATCTCACGTGCTATCGCAGACTGCACTTTATCGTATATGCCAGAACTACGGCTACTGCGGCATTATAGGAGAACCGGCTGTATTTGTATTTTACCAGGTAAGGCCCACTTGAGCTGTATAGTTATTTTTCAGTAGCGACCTCGTCACAAATTATAGCTCAACCAAGTGGCTCATTATGAACACGTGGACATTTTTAGCAGCCAAATGCTTTAAACGCGTGACGTTGATATTGAATGCAGAGAGGAAAAACCAGAGGACCCGGAGAAAAATCCGCGCGACCACGGGGAGAGAGAGAGAGAGAGACATGCAGACTCCAAATATACAGCGGGCGTCAGGGTCGGGATCTGAACCCAGGACCACCTGTATACTTGGCGAGGTAGTTAACATCTCCTAGCCACCGTGATGATGATGATGAGAGAGAGAGAGAGACGCGCAAACTCCAAATATACAGCGGGCGTCAGGGTCGGGATCTGAACCCAGGCCACCTGTATACTAGGCGAGGTAGTTAACATCTAGCCACGGTGATGATGATGATGAGAGAGAGAGACACGCAAACTCCAAATACAGGTAGTCCTCTACTTGCGATGGGGATGAGTTATGACGACCCCATCGCAAGTCAACTATCGTAAGTCTAAGAGAGAGAGAGAGAGAACACACAAACTCCAAATATACAGCAGGTCTCGGGGGTCGGAATCGGAACCCACGACCTCGTGCATGTCGGGCGAGGAAGATACCAACTCCTATCTACCATGGTGCCCAACTGCGGCAGGCCCACCCCTGAACTCGCCTGGTATTCTGAGGACAGGACACAGGTGTTCTCTACACGTGCGACTGACTGGGCGTCCAGAAGTCGAGATGCTAAAACCGACAATCACTTTCAACTCATTCTCTCTCTGACCATTGTTCACAGTCACTTCCTTATCACTCGATTATCTCGAGTATCGACCGCGGGCATTGTTCCCGTGACATTCGCCCCTAGATAGCTCCTCCGCCCATTGCAACAACAGCGGGTGTTTTCTGTCAGATTGGCCGCGTCCTTCGATGCGGGCTGCGTTCAACCACCCACCCCCACCCATAACCCTTTGTTGCTGTTGGCCTTTTGGCGTTGTTCCGTGGTTTAACGCCGGTGGTGCCGGCCAAGACGATGTGTACATCATTATTATTATTACCATCAGAGCCAAGTGTGTTTGCTTGTTTTACCACGTGTACGTGTGGTTGATGCAGACTTGATTCCTTGCAATAGGTGTATCATCTCTGTGCGTGGTTGAACGTCTTAACACAACTGCTGTTTTATTGCCAGGCAGGGTAAACGCACCAATTGTGATTTTTTTCAAACCTTGATCATGTCTAAAAGAGATACCGTACTCAGATTCCTGTCTCCCTGCCCACTCTGTAACACCCCTGCTTGGTCACACATTGCTACCACTGTCAACCGATATCTGTTTGTCATTTGCGTTTCGTCATTTGCGCTGCGATCAGTCTAGAGGTCATCTGCCCGACCCATGTTTGCGCCGCACGCAATTTCTTATTTGGCGTTGATGTCATATTGATTTGCGTTTGTGCAATGTTTTCGATTTCTCAGGTGGTGCAAATTGTTTTTATTTTCGTTAGGATGATCGATTTGCATCCTTGCCGTGCTTTTATTTCATTTGCTTTTGCTGCTGTCACTTCGGCACCTGCAATTGGCTGTGTATGGTGCCAAAGAAGTTCAACACAATACATAGTTCGTAGACTAACACTGCCCATAGACTCAACACTGCCCATAGACTCAACACTGCCCATAGACTAACACTGCCCATAGACTCAAAACTGCCCATAGACTCAACACTGCCCATCGACTCAACACTGCCCATAGACTCAACACTGCCCATAGACTCAACACTGCCCATAGACTCAACACTGCACCATAGACTAACACTGCCCATAGACTAACATTGCCCATAGACTAATACTGCCCATAGACTCAACACTGCCCATAGACTAACACTGCCCATAGACTCAACACTGCCCATAGACTCAACACTGCCCTTAGACTCAACACTGCCCATAGACTCAACACTGCCCATAGACTAACACTGCCCATAGACTCAACACTGCCCATAGACTCAACACTGCCCATAGACTCAACACTGCCCATAGACTCAACACTGCCCATAGACTCAACACTGCCCATAGACTAACACTGCCCATAGACTAACACTGCCCATAGACTAACACTGCCCATAGACTAACACTGCCCATAGACTAACACTGCCCATAGACTCAACACTGCCCATAGACTCAACACTGCCCATAGACTCAACACTGCCCATAGACTCAACACTGCCCATAGACTAACACTGCCCATAGACTAACACTGCCCATAGACTAACACTGCCCATAGACTAACACTGCTCATAGACTCAACCTTGCCCAGTGGCAATTTTTAACAAACCGCACCAGGTACTCATTTTGAGGCCGAGTCAACCTCGGAGGAGACCCAGGAACCAGTTCAGACAATCGAGACCAGTGTTGGGCCTCGAGTGGGAATCGAACCCGGGTCGCCGGGTTCGTGGCGCGGCTCGCTGACCGCCGCACCACAGCTCACCGACGGTGAACACGACGGCAAACGCACGCAACGGGCCCGTCTCACCCACGTGAAACGGCGTCGTTCGGTTATTTCAGGCACGCGACTCTCAGGGGAAAAACCTGAAACTGGGGCCCAACAGTTTGCCCGTTTAACAAACAAAGGCAGCTGGGGAATACAAACGGGGCCCGGAGCGTCTCACTCAGGCGGCGAAGGACGCTCCTGGCTCGGCTCACGCAGCCGCGTGGATTTTTCTTCGGGTCCTCCGGTTTTTTCCCCTCCACGTTTCGAATCGACGTCACGCGTTTAGAGTAATTGTCTGCTGCTAAGCATTTCCAACGTCACAACAAAAAACAACACGAACACACGACAGGAGAGTACGTGGTACTATAAAGGTAACATATCACACACCCATAAAACTAAATCTTTCGCATCCTACCAGGCCAAAGCTCGCCGAGGTATTAACTTATTTTTTCAGAAGCGACCTGGCCACAAATGATAGCTCAACAAAGTGGCTTATAAAGTGGAAATTTATGGCGGTAAAATGTTCCAAATATTCTAAGCATAGTTAACTAAATTTGTAGGGACAAACCGACGGAGGATCCAGAGGAAAATAATTCCACGCGACCACGGTGAGAGAGGGAGAGACACACTAACTCCAAATATACCAGGAGATGGAGTTAACATCTCCTTGGCACCGTGGCACAAGCCCCTTAAAACGAAACTTTTTTTTATTTCAGCAGGTCAGGCCCCAGTGAGATGCGTAATTCTTTCTCAGAAGCGTCCTGGCCATCACAAATGATAGCCCAACGAGAAGTGGCTTATCATCATCTCGTGGACATTTATAGCAGCCAAATACGCTGAACGTGTGACGTCGATTCTGAACGCGGAGGGGGAAAATAAAACGGAGGGCGTGAAACCCACGGAACTCTTTGCATTTGCAAAGTCTCAGTTTATTTCTCGCGCAGACAAACGCTGGGGTTGGCAACAATAAGCAATCGGTGTTTTACCCTTTCTGGCAATACAACAGGAGGTGTGAAGATGTTCAAACACCAACTATAAACCCTTTGCAAGGGATTCGAGTCTGCATTGACCATGCAGACAAACACGCTGGTAATGTTTGATGCGTTGTCTTTGAAACTGATTGGCCTACACCAGCCACAAGCCTTCTCTAGGGCCTTGTCTCACCACCGGCGTCAGAGCAGAGAACAGCAGCGCCTCGGGAGGGGGGGGGGGGGTTGGGTTCGAACTCGCGAGCCTCATGCTTGTCAGGCGAGGTGGCTGACGTCTCTCCACCCCCGTGGGGCGCGCGCAGGGTGATGATCAACGAGGAGAACGCCGAGTCCCTGCTGGAGGCGGGCGACATGCTCGAGTTTCACGACGTTCGTGACGCCTGCGCCGAGTTCCTCGAGAAGAACCTCCACCCCTCCAACTGCCTGGGCATGATGCTGCTGTCGGAGGCGCACCAGTGCCGTCGCCTCCACGACCTCTCGTGGCGCATGTGCCTCGCCAACTTCGGCGCCCTGGCGCTCGCCGATGACTTCCTGTCGCTGCCGTGCGACAAGCTCGCCGAGCTGGTCTCCAGCGAGGAGCTGGAGGTGGAGGACGAGCGCGTGGCCTACGAGGCGGCGATGCGCTGGGTGAGCCACGACCCCGGGACCCGGGCGGCCCACCTGCCCCGCCTGCTGGCGGGCCTGCGGCTCGCCATGCTGCCGCTGGTCTTCCTCGCCGAGGTCGCCGGCGACGAGCTGATCCGCGGGCAGGCGCGCAGCCGCGAGATGGTCGAGGAGGCCATGGGCTGCAAGCTGAAGATCCTGAGGAACGACGGCGTCGTGACCAGCCCCTGCGCCAGGCCCCGCAAGTCCGGCCACGCGCTGCTCCTGCTCGCCGGGCAGACGTTCATGTGCGACAAGATCTACCTGGTGGACCTCAAGGCGCAGCAGATCCTGCCCAAGGCAGACCTGCCGAGCCCGCGCAAGGAGTTCAGCGCGTGCGCCGTGGGCTGCAAGGTCTACGTGATGGGCGGCCGCGGCTCGGAGAACGGTGTGTCCAAGGTGAGGGCTGCCCGCTGGTCGGGGGGGCGGGGGTGGAAACTAAACTCTGAACTGAACCGGTTTTGTTTGACCTCACCAGATGTAAGGGCTCGGCTGAGTTGTGCAGCGCCGAGATTGTCTCCCGAACGAAATGAGAACGCGATGGCAGGCCCACGCAGGCTGCTTCAGCGGCCTGCAGCACGGTTCTCAACCACGTCCCCTCCCTCCCTCCCACCCTCCCTCCCTCCCTCCCTCCCTCCCACCCTCCCTCCCTCCCTCCCCTCCCTCCCTCCCTCCCCACCCTCCCTCCCTCCCCACCCTCCCTCCCACCCTCCCTCCCACCCTCCCACCCTCCCCACCCACCCTCCCACCCTCCCTCCCTCCCACCCTCCCTCCCACCCTCCCTCCCCACCCTCCCACCCACCCTCCCTCCCCACCCTCCCACCCACCCTCCCTCCCCACCCTCCCACCCACCCTCCCACCCTCCCACCCACCCTCCCACCCTCCCACCCTCCCTCCACCTCCCTCCCACCCTCCCTCCCTCCCACCCTCCCACCCTCCCTCCACCTCCCTCCCCACCCTCCCACCATCCCTCCCCACCCTCCCACCCTCCCTCTCCTCCCTTCCTCCCTCTCCTCCCTTCCTCCCTCCCACCTTGTTGCTTAGAAACGTGTTTCGCTCTTCGCCTTTCAGGAAACTAACAAAACTATTTTTTTATTTTACCCAGTGTCAGGCCCCACTGAGTTGATGTGGAGCTCTTTTTTATCTTCAGAAGCAACCCGTCACCTGTGATGGCTCATCACAGGTGATGGCTCATCACAGGTGATGGCTCATCACAGGTGATGGCTCATCACAGGTGATGGCTCATCACAGGTGATGGCTCATCACCTGTGATGGCTCATCACAGGTGATGGCTCATCACAGGTGATGGCTCATCACCTGTGATGGCTCATCACAGGTGACGGCTCATCACAGGTGACGGCTCATCACAGGTGACGGCTCATCACAGGTGACGGCTCATCACAGGTGATGAGCCATCACCTGTGATGGCTCATCACAGGTGATGGCTCATCACAGGTGACGGCTCATCACCTGTGATGGCTCATCACAGGTGACGGCTCATCACAGGTGACGGCTCATCACAGGTGATGAGCCATCACCTGTGATGGCTCATCACAGGTGATGGCTCATCACAGGTGACGGCTCATCACCTGTGATGGCTCAACGAAGTGGCTGATGTCCTCGCTGTGTGTAAATGTGTAGCGGCAGCCGAATTACTCTCAAAGCGCGCGGCGTCGATTCTGAATGTCGAAGGAAAAACCGCAGGACCTGCATAAAAATCCACACGACCACGGGGAGAACATGCAAACTCCAAATATACAGCAGGCATTAGGGTCAGGATTGAAAGCACGACCTCCTGTGTACCAGGCGTGGGAGTTAACATCAGACAGAGACCGACCGTACCAACTGGACGGGCCACGCACATCGCACAGAGACGGACTGTACCAACTGGATGGGCCACGGACATCACACAGACGGACCGTACCAACTGGACGGGCCACGGACATCACACAGAGACCGACTGTACCAACTGGACGGGCCACGGACATCACACAGAGACCGACCGTACCAACTGGACGGGCCACGCACATCGCACAGAGACGGACCGTACCAACTGGACGGGCCACGGACATCACACAGAGACCGACCGTACCAACTGGACGGGCCACGGACATCACACAGAGACCGACCGTACCAACTGGACGGGCCACGCACATCACACAGAGACGGACCGTACCAACTGGATGGGCCACGGGGAGAGAGCCGGGGGGCGGGTGGAGTGAGCGGGGCGGGGGGGGAGCAAGGGGGAGATTGGGGGTGAGCGGGGGGGCCGGAGTGAGCGGGGGGGAGGAGGGGTGACTGGGGGGGGAGCTGGGGTGAGTGGAGGAGGGAGTGGTGAGTGGGTGAGTGGGGGGGGTAGCTGGGGGACGATAATGACAATGACGACGACGAGGGTGACGATGACGAGGGTGACGACGATGACGACGGCGACGGCGACGGTGACGATGATATAATCGTTTTGATCTCTCCATCATCCCTACTGCTGCGTGGCTCACGCGGAGCGGCAGCTCGGCGTGTGTGTGTTTTGTGTGTGTGTGCGCGTGCGTGTGCATGCACGTGCATGCGTGTGCATGCGTGTGTTTTTGTGTGTGTGTGCGCGCGTGCATGCGTGTGCATGTGTGTGTTTTTGTGTGTGTGTGCACGCGTGCGTGCGTGTGCATGTGTGTGTTTGTGTGTGTGTGTGCATGTGTGTGTTTTTGTGTGTGTGTGCACGTGTGTTTTTGTGTGTGTGTGCATGTGTGTTTTTGTGTGTGTGCATGTGTGTGTTTTGTGTGTGTGTGCACGTGTGTGTTTTTGTGTGTGTGTGCGCGTGTGTGTTTTTGTGTTTGTGTGTGTTTTTGTGTGTGTGTGTGTTTTTGTGTGTGTGTGTGTGCGCACGCTCGCCCAGCGGGGGTTGGTGCGCCGCCCTCTGAAATCGGCGTCCCGAGTTCGATTCCCCCGGGTCCCTTGGTTGTCGAGGTATCATTCGTGGTTGTCAGGTCGCTTCTTGAAAACGAAGTGAATACTTCAGCGGGCTTTGCCTGGTAGGATGGGGATGGTTTAGTGAGTATTCTTAATGTTTCTGGGCGATTCGTTTTTCTTTCTTGCACCACGCACTCCTTTCGTATTTTTGTATCGTTTGTTGTTGTAACGTTCTGACCCCGTGCCCCCCTTCCTGGGCATCTGGTAAAAAAGAGCTTCATAGCTCATCGGATTCCTCCTCCTGCGGTATAAATTCTGATTGTGTGTGTCACCACCACCACCACCCCCACCACCACCGCCGCCTCGCAGGACGTGTGGGTGTACGACACGGTGCACGATGAGTGGTCCAAGGCGGCCCCCATGCTCATCGCGCGATTCGGCCACGGCTCCGCCGAGCTGGAGCACTGCCTGTACGCCGTGGGCGGCCACACGTCCACCGCCGGCGTCTACCCCGCGTCGCCCTCCGTCTCCCTCAAGCAGGTGCTGTGAGAGGCGGCTGCTGCTGCTGCGATCGCTCGCCCGGCCGCTCGCTCACTCACTCGCTGTCCTGGCTTTAACTCTCTCCCTCGAACCCCTCACTCACTCACGCACGCTGTCATCCACCCACTCATCCACCCACCCACTCATCCACCCACTCACACACTCGTCCACCCACTCGTCCACCCATTCATCCACCCACCCACTCATGAACCCACTCACACACTCATCCACCCACTCGCACTCTCATCCATCCACTCATCCACCTACCCACTCATGCACCCACCCACCAACTCACCCACCCACTCTCACCTACCAGCTTGCCTACCTTCTGACCTTCCGCGCTCTCACCCGCTCACTCGCCCTGGTGTCCACCCTCTCGCCCGCCCTGTTGACCCGCTGTCCCACTCTTCTACCCTGTCGTCGGGGGGCTGCTCACCGCCCGGTCACCACGTTCCCACCAGGTTGCCAGGGTGGCGGTGGCGGTTGTGGTGGGTGGTGGTGGCAGTGGTGGTGATTGGTGGCGGCGGCGGTGGTGGTGGCGGTGGCGGCGGTGGTGGTGGTGGTAGCGGCGGTGGTGGTGGTGGCGGCGGCGGTGGTGGTGGCGGCGGTGGTGGTGGTAGCAGCGGTGGTAGCGGCGGTGGTGGTGGTGGTAGCGGCGGTGGTGGTGGTAGCGGCGGTGGTGGTGGTGGCCTGTTTTTGGAGCTCTCCATGACCACTTTGTTTCTGGTGGGAGTCGTCAAACCGCCACAGGAAGCCACGCGCACACACACACCTGGGCACACGCGCACACACGCACACACACCTGGGCACACACACACACACCTGGGCACACGCGCACACACGCACACACACCTGGGCACACACGCACACACACACACCTGGGCACACACGCACACACACACACCTGGGCACACGCACACACACACACACACACCTGGGCACACACGCACACACACACACCTGGGCACATGCGCGCACACGCACACACACTCGCACACACACTCGCACACACACTCGCACACACTCGCACACACTCGCACACACACTCGCACACACCTGGGCACACGCGCACACACCTGGGCACACACGCACATGTGCACACGCACGCACACGCACACACACTCGCACACATGCACACACACTCGCACACACCTGGGCGCACGCACACGGGCACACACACACATACGTGCTGCTTTCTGGCAGGGATCCAAACAAAGCGGTGGGTTATTATATAAATAAATAAATAGATATGCACACGTGGGATATTTAAATCGCCCGGCCTGTAAACAATAAATAATAACTCAGCCTGGCCTGCCGTGGCCGCTGCACTGCTGCCCGACGCTGTGACCACGGCGTTCATTTCGCCTTCCGCCCGTACGGGTAGTAATCACCGTGCGGGTAGCTATCATCATGTGTGCCACTATCACCGTGCGGGTAGCCATCACCGTGCAGGTAGCCATCACCGTGCTTGCTGCTATCACCGTGCGGGTAGCCATCACCGTGCAGGTAGTAATCACCGTGCAGGTAGCCATCACCGTGCTTGCTGCTATCACCGTGCGGGTAGCCATCACCATGCAGGTAGCCATCACCGTGCTTGCTGCTATCACCGTGCGGGTAGCCATCACCGTGCGGGTAGTAATCACCGTGCGGGTAGCCATCACCGTGCGGGTAGTAATCACCGTGCGGGTAGTCATCACCGTGCTTGCCGCTATCACCGTGCGGGTAGCCATCATCGTGCAGGTAGCCATCACCGTGCGGGTAGCAATCATCGTGCGTGTAGTAATCATCGTGCAGGTAGCGATCATCGTGCGGGTAGCCATCACCGTGCGTGCCACTATCACCGTGCGGGTAGCCATCACCGTGCGTGCCACTATCACCGTGCGGGTAGCCATCACCGTGCGGGTAGCCATCACCGTGCTTGCCGCTATCACCGTGCGGGTGCGGTCGTCTTCTCCACGTTACGGGGGGGGGGGGTGGGGGGCATAGTCCGAAGCCGCCGCCCAGCTGCTGCCGCTTACGAACACAAAGGTTAGAAGGTGCGGCGAGCGAGCGGGCGGGCGGGCGAGCGGGCACGGCACGGTGCTGCCGCGGCGGCGAGTGCCCCTCACCGCCGGCCCTGCGGTTTTTGGGACATTCCTCCGCTCGGTAGAAACCGCCTCCCCCCGGGTCCCACACCGGAGCTGTAACAACACGAACAGACTCCAAATATACAGCAGCAGCGGCGGCGGCCGTCGGGGTCGGGATCGAACCCACGACCTCCTGCGTACCAGGCGAGGTCGTTAACTATTAAACTTTTATTTTACCAGGTAAGGGACCTCTGGCTTATCGTAATCACCACGTGGAAATGTACAGCAGCCAAACGTTCTGGGCGCTTGGCGTTGATTTTAAATGTGGAGGGGAAACACCGGAGGACCCGGGAAAAAAAAAATCCACGCAACCATGTGGAGAGAGAACATTCCAACTCCAAATCTACAGCAGCAGCAGCAGGCGTCGGGATCGAACCCACGACCTCCTGTGTACCAGGCGAGGTAGTTAACATCTCCTAGCCACCGTGATGATGATGATGAGAGAGAGAACATTCCAACTCCAAATCTACAGCAGCAGCAGCAGGCGTCGGGATCGAACCCACGACCTCCTGTGTACCAGGCGAGGTAGTTAACATCTCCTAGCCACCGTGATGATGATGAGAGAGAGAGAACATGCAACTCCAAATATACAGCAGCAGCAGGCGTCGGGATCGAACCCACGACCTCCTGTGCACCAGGCGAGGTAGTTAACATCTCCTAGCCACCGTGATGATGATGATGAGAGAGAGAGACGCAGACTCCAAATATACAGCAGCAGCAGGCGTCGGGATCGAACCCACGACCTCCTGCATACCAGGCGAGGTAGTTAACATCTCCTAGCCACCGTGATGTGGCGGTCGGCGCTAACGCTGACCGCTACCAAGCTGGCGACCCGAGTTCGATTCCCGCTCACGGCCACCGACTCCGGTGGCGATTATCCGGATCGGTCCTACGGCCTCTCCTAGGTCGACTCGGCCTCAAATGAGTACCCGGTGCGGTGCGTAGTCAACATCGCCACTGGGGAGACAAAGGCGGACGGGCGTGGTGCTGGCCACCCAGCCCCTCGTGTGCCGTGCCGGCCTTTGTAGGTGCTACTCGCTAACAGCACTTGCCCCGACAGTCTGTCAAGGGTATATGGGGGATCTTTGTCTGTGTTTAGCCTTTATTAAATTCGCGTGACCATTTTATTTACTATTCATCTACAGAGGCCTTGGCTGGGAATGTAGAAAGAGGATGGAAAGAGTGAGGAGGGGGAGTGGAGAGAGAAGGAGGAGAGGGGAGGAGGGAGAGAGGGGGGGGAGGGTGATGAAGGATGGTGTTGGTGATGATGGTGGTGGTGGTGGTGATGGTGGTGATGGTGGTGATGGTGGTGATGGTGACAGTGGTGGTGATGTTGGTGGTGGTGGTGCCGGTGGCGATGATGGTGGTGGTGGCGCCGGTGGCGATGATGGTGGCGATGATGGTGGTGGTGGCGATGATGGTGACAGTGGTGGTGACGGAGGCGGTGGTGATGGTGGTTGTCGTTTTTGTTGTTGTTGTTGCAATCGCCAGCGAAACGTCACCAGCTTACTCGAATTGTGAACGCCGGTGTGTGCCGGAGCAGAAAATTAAATCGTCAGTATTTTTATCCGTGACACAACTTTTGCTAATTGACGTGATCTAACCCTCAAGAAATCCCTCTGTCATGGATAATATTGATCAACGAAAGCCTCCTTCTACTCCTCCTACTGCTCCGACCACTGCTACTACTGCTACTACTTCTGCTGCTACCGCTACTACTGCTACTCATACTGCTACTCCTGCTGCTGATACTGCTGCTACTGGGGGGACAAGGGTGTCTCAGCTGTTCACTCCACTGGCGGTGCCCGCAGTTCGATTCCCGGCCCTGGCCGGTGGAGAGCGACATCTCAACTGGAGGCTGGACTCCTTCCCTTTTGACCGACCCCGCCCAGTGACCCACGTGGTGAAGCGTGGCCAGCCACCAACGCCGCGCATTTGGGGCGGAACTTTGTGGTGGCGGTGCGACGAGAGGGGTCGAAAATCTAAAACCCCTCGCCCCCCTCCAGCGGTGCGGACTCCGGCCCGGTGCTGTTCCGTGGTCAATATCGGCGACGCGTTAGCCCCACGCGGCAATCGTGCGCCGCGTGTGTCCATGTAGCCGACCGCGCTGATGGACTGTACCCCACCGTGCGCCCGCCCGCCCCCCCCGACGGCGCCAGGTGGAGCGCTACGACCCCGTGGTGAACAAGTGGACGATGGTGGCGCCGCTGCGCGACGGCGTGAGCAACGCCGCCGTGGTCAGCGCCAAGCTCCGGCTCTACGTGTTCGGCACCGGCGGCTCCTCCAGTGCCACCAAGGAGCGCGCGCCCAAGGTGCGGCCTCGATAGTCGACACCGTCACGACCGCCAGCGCCACCACCACCAGCATCATCACTAGCACCAGCATCATCACTAGCACCAGCATCATCACTAGCACCAGCATCATCACTAGCACCAGCATCATCACCACCACCAGCATCATCACTAGCACCAGCATCATCACTAGCACCAGCATCATCACTAGCACCAGCATCATCACCACCACCAGCATCATCACTAGCACCAGCATCATCACTAGCACCAGCATCATCACTAGCACCACCAGCACCGCTACCGCCACCACCGCCACCAGCAGCACCACTACCACCACCAGCACCACCAGCACCACTACCACTACCACCAGCAGCACCACTACCGCCACCACCGCCATCAGCATCGCTACCGCCACCAGCACCACCAGCAGCATCACTACCATCGCCACCAGCACCACCAGCACCACCACCGCCACCAGCACCAGCAGCGCCACCAGCACCAGCAGCACCACTACCGCCACCAGCACCACTACCGCCACCAGCACCAGCAGCACCACTACCGCCACCACTACCGCCACCAGCACCACTACCGCCACCACCGCCACCAGCATCGCTACCGCCACCACCGCCACCAGCATTGCTACCGCCACCACCACCACCAGCACCACTACCATCGCCACCAGCGCCACTAGCGCCACCAGCACCACCAGCACCACTACCGCCACCAGCACCACTACCGCCACCAGCACCACCAGCAGCACCACTACCGCCACCACTGCCACCAGCACCACTACCGCCACCACTGCCACCAGCACCACTACCGCCACCAGCTCCACCAGCACCACTACCGCCACCAGCACCACTACCAGCACCAGCAGCACCACTACCGCCACCAGCACCACTACCGCCACCAGCACCACCAGCACCACTACCGCCACCAGCACCACCAGCACCACTACCGCCACCAGCACCACCAGCACCACTACCGCCGCCGCCACCACTGCCACCAGCACCACTACCAGCACCAGCAGCACCACTACCGCCACCAGCACCACTACCGCCACCAGCACCACCAGCACCACTACCGCCACCAGCACCACCAGCACCACTACCGCCACCAGCACCACCAGCACTACCACCGCCACCACCGCCACCACCGCCACCAGCACCACTACCACCACCATCGCCACCAGCACCACCACCGCCACTACCGCCACCACCGCCACCAGCACCACCACCGCCACCAGTACCACCAGCACCACTACCGCCACCAGCACCACTACCATCGCCACCAGCACCACTACCGCCACCACCGCCACCAGCACCACCACCGCCACCAGCACCACCACCGCCACCACCACTGCCACCAAGACCACTACTGCCACCACCATCACTGCAACCACCACCAGCACCACTACCGCCGCCGCCAACGCTATCACCACCACCACCACCACCACACAAAGGCAATGATCCCCTGTGTAGACCTAACAGACTGTTGGGGCAAGTGCTGTTAGCGAGCACCTATGAAAGGCGCGACACACGAGGAGGCATTTGCCTCCCCGAGTGGCGATGTTTACTCCACACTACCGCTACACCGGGTACTCGTCCGAGGCCCCCACGACCGCTTCGGACGACCGTTACCGGCGTTGGCCGCGAGCGCGGCGCTGACCGCCACGCCGGTGGAGTCCCCCCCCCGCCCCCGCCCCCGGTTGATCGAGTCCGCCGGCACCGCCGCAGGTGCAGTGCTACGACCCCGGCGAGAACCGCTGGAGCGTGGTGGCGTCGTGCCCGCAGCCCTGGCGCTACGCGGCCGCGGCCGTCTTCGGCGGGCAGATCTTCGTGATGGGCGGCGAGACGGAGCTGTCGGCGGGCGCCGCCTACCGCTTCGACTGCGACGCGGCGGCGTGGACCCGCGTGGGCGGCGACGTCACCGCGAAGCGCATGAGCTGCCTGGCGGCCGCCAGCGGCGACAAGCTGTACGCCGTGGGCGGCTACTTCGGCACGCAGCGCGGCAAGACGCTCGACTGCTACGACCCGGCGCTGGACACGTGGGCGAGCGTCACCAGCGTGCCCTACTCGCTCATCCCCACCGCCTTCGTCAGCACCTGGAAGCACCTGCCGGCCTGAGCGGGGGGGGGGGTGGGGGTGGGGTGGGGGGGGAGGCCGGGGGGGGGGGGTGGGCGGCGGCGGTCGCTGTCGGGAGCGGCGCCCCCCGCGTGCAGGTAACGAGATGTTAACCAGGGGGGGTGGGTTGGGGGGGTGGGGTGGGGTGGGGGGGAGTGGGGGGGGGCATGCAGGTAACGAGATGTTAACCAGGGGGGGTGGGGGGTGGGGTGGGGTGGGGTGGGGGGGAGTGGGGGGGGGCATGCAGGTAACGAGATGTTAACCAGGGGGGGTGGGGGGTGGGGTGGGGGGCGTGCAGGTAACGAGACGTTAACTGGGGGGGTGGGGGTGGGGGGGGCGTGCAGGTAACGAGACGTTAACCGCCTCGCCCGGCCTGCAGGAGGTCGTGGGTTCCATCCCGAGTGTGACGTCTGCTGCGGAAGTGGAGTTTACGTCTCTCTCTCTCTCTCTCCGTGGTCGCGTGGATTGGGTGGGTGGGTGGGGGTGGTGGTGGTGGTGGGTGGGAGGAATCGAACCCACGACCTCCTGCGTACCGGGCGAGGTAGTTAACAGTTAACGGGCCTCGGGGTTTTTGTTGTTTGGCTATCCACTGCCTCCTCCCGCTCTTCCTCCTCCTCATCATCATCATCGTCGTCGTCGTCCTCCGCCCCCGCCTCTTTCTCCTTGTCCCCCGCCGCTCGCCGTGCTCCCCACGGCGGCCCAGCGTTGGACGGCGCTTGACGGATGAGGTGATAACGGCGAGCAGACACGCGGGGAGGGAGGGGGGGAGGCCACCGGTAGCGGATCCACGGGCAGCTCCCCCGCCCTGCAGCGGGGAGTGGCGGCGCAGTGGTTAGCAGCTACGCACGTGGACATTCGTGTACCTAGGCTAAGGGATGTGAGACGGTGGTCCGGGGGTCTGGGTGGTTGAGTGAGAGGGTGAGTGAGTGAGCAAGTAAGTGGGTGGGTGAGTGAGCGAGTGAGAGGGGTGAGTGAGAGTGAGTGAGCGAACGGGTGGGTGAGTGAGCGAACGGGTGGGTGAGTGAGAGTGAGTGAACGAGTAAGTGGGTGGGTGAGTGAACGAGTAAGTGGGTGATTGAGTGAGCGAGTAAGTGGGTGGGTGAGTGAGAGGGTGTGTTGTGACATGCAGTGTGGTGGTGGTAGTATAAACACAGTACGGCAAATTATTATGAGAAGCGACGTTTAAGTTCTTTTTATTTGTGGCCGAGTTATGAATCCTCCTTACTAAGCTTAGTCATGTCACTGTTCACACCACGATTAGCGTGGCAAATCTTCTTCATTGGCCGTGCCAACTTAGCTACCTCAGTTACTCGCCCCGTACCGGCGGCAGACTTTAAACTCACACCCGACAGACTCGCTTACCCACAGACTCACCCACCCATAGACTCACTCACACGCAGACTCACCCACCCACAGACTCACTCATCCGCAGACTTACCCACCCATAGACTCACTCACACGCAGACTCACCCAGCCATAGACTCACTCACCCACAGACTCACCCACCCATAGACTCACTCGCCTGCAGACTCACCCACCCATAGACTCACTCACCCACAGACTCACTCACCCACAGACTCACCCAGCCATAGACTCACTCGCTCGTAGACTCACCCACCCATAGACTCACCCACCCATAGACTCACTCACCCACAGACTCACCCAGCCATAGACTCACTCGCTCGTAGACTCACCCATCCATAGACTCACTCGCCCACACTCACCCACCCATAGACTCACTCGCCCACAGACTCACCCACCCATAGACTCACTCGCACGCAGACTCACCCACCCGCAGACTCACCCACCCGCAGACTCACCCACCCATAGACTCACTTGCCCGCAGACTCACCCACCCATAGACTCACTTGCCCGCAGACTCACCCACCCATAGACTCACTCAACCGCAGACTCACCCACCGACAGACTCACTCATCCGCAGACTTACCCACCCATAGACTCACTCACACGCAGACTCACCCACCCATAGACTCACTCGCCCACAGACTCACCCACAGACTCGCTCGCCCACAGACTCACCCACCCATAGACTCACCCTCCCGCAGACTCACCCACCCACAGACTCACTCACCCGCAGACTCACCCACCCACAGACTCACCCACCCACAGACTCATTCACCCACAGACTCACCCACCCATAGACTCACCCACCCACAGACTCACTCACCCATAGACTCACCCGCAGACTCACCCACCCATAGACTCACTCACCCACAGACTCACCCACCCATAGACTCACTCACCCACAGACTCACCCACCCATAGACTCACCCACCCATAGACTCACTCACACGCAGACTCACCCACCCACAGACTCACTCATCCGCAGACTTACCCACCCATAGACTCACTCACACGCAGACTCACCCAGCCATAGACTCACTCACCCACAGACTCACCCACCCATAGACTCACTCGCCTGCAGACTCACCCACCCATAGACTCACTCACCCACAGACTCACTCACCCACAGACTCACCCAGCCATAGACTCACTCGCTCGTAGACTCACCCACCCATAGACTCACCCACCCATAGACTCACTCACCCACAGACTCACCCAGCCATAGACTCACTCGCTCGTAGACTCACCCATCCATAGACTCACTCGCCCACACTCACCCACCCATAGACTCACTCGCCCACAGGCTCACCCACCCATAGACTCACTCGCACGCAGACTCACCCACCCGCAGACTCACCCACCCGCAGACTCACCCACCCATAGACTCACTTGCCCGCAGACTCACCCACCCATAGACTCACTTGCCCGCAGACTCACCCACCCATAGACTCACTCAACCGCAGACTCACCCACCCACAGACTCACTCATCCGCAGACTTACCCACCCATAGACTCACTCACACGCAGACTCACCCACCCATAGACTCACTCGCCCACAGACTCACCCACAGACTCGCTCGCCCACAGACTCACCCACCCATAGACTCACCCACTCGCAGACTCACCCACCCACAGACTCACTCACCCGCAGACTCACCCACCCACAGACTCACCCACCCACAGACTCATTCACCCACAGACTCACCCACCCATAGACTCACCCACCCACAGACTCACTCACCCATAGACTCACCCGCAGACTCACCCACCCATAGACTCACTCACCCACAGACTCACCCACCCATAGACTCACTCACCCACAGACTCACCCACCCATAGACTCACTCACCCACAGACTCACCCACCCATAGACTCACTCGCACGCACACTCACCCACCCATAGACTCACTCACCCACAGACTCACCCACCCATAGACGCACTCACCCACAAACTCACCCACCCATAGACTCACCCATCCACAGACTCACCCACCCATAGACGCACTCACCCACAAACTCACCCACCCATAGACTCACCCACCCATCGACTCACTCACCCACAGACTCACCCACCCATAGACTCACCCACCCACAGACTCACCCACCCACAGACTCACTCACCCACAGACTCACCCACCCACAGACTCACTCACCCACAGACTCACCCACCCACAGACTCACCCACCCATAGACTCACTCACCCACAGACTCACCCATCCATAGACTCACTCGCATGCAGACTCACTCACCCATAGACTCACTCACCTGCAGACTCACCCACCCATAGACTCACTCACCCGCAGATTCACCCACTCATAGACTCACTCGCTCACAGACTCACCCACCCATAGACTCAATTGCACGCAGACTCACCCACCCATAGACACACTCGCACGTAGACTCACCCACCCATAGACTCACTCGCACGCAGACTCACCCACCCATAGACTCACTCATCCGCAGAGTCGCTCGCTAACCGTCACCACCACCGACACCTCCGCCGTCACCATCCGTGACCCCCGCACCTATGAAGGCCGGCCATGGCACACAGGGGTGGGTGGCCAGCGCCATGCCCGGCCGCCTTTGTCTCCCTAGTACCTTTTCAGTTAATCTTCACTGTTGTTTACCGTGAGCGGGAATCGTACTTGGGTCACCGGGTTCATAGCGCAGCGGCGAACCGCCACACTATCACTCCCCATAAATCACTCGCCAATCCCACCGCACCAACCCACCAATCCACCAACCCATCCACCCACCGACCCATCTACCAACTCACCCACCAACCTCACCACACTCACCCACCAACCTCACCACACTCACCCACCAATCCCACCCACCAACCCACCATTCCACCAACCCATCCACCTACCAACCCATCCACCTACCAACCCACTCACCCACCAACCCACCCACCAATCCCACCCACCAACCCACCATTCCACCAACCCATCCACCTACCAACCCATCCACCTACCAACCCACTCACCCACCAACCCACCCACCAATCCCACCCACCAACCCACCATTCCACCAACCCATCCACCTACCAACCCATCCACCTACCAAGCCACTCACCCACCAACCCACCCACCGGCCGCGCCCCGCCTAGCCCCACCGCTCCAGGCCGGCACTGAAAGGGCACGGCGTGCCGATGACAGACGTCCGCCCACTCCTATCTGGTGATCTAAATAGTGGCTGTGACGGGGGGTGGGGGGTCAGCCAGCCGTGACCCCAGGGGCCGCACTTCCCCCTTCCATTCATCCAAGGCTCGGGGACGGGGCGCGTTGGTGAATCGCCGGCAGTGTTTGCCGTATAATGACGGCCCCTTGCCACGATTACACCACCATCACCACCAGAACCACCGTCGCGACCGCCGCCGTCGCCGCCGCCGCCACCATGGACCGTCGTCTTCACCGTTATAAACGACCGCTTTCGGCACCTCCGCAATCACCACCACCGCCACCACCACCACACTACTTTCCGCCACCGCTTCTCGATTCGCGTTGCCGATCTTGGGCCGAACAACACAAAGGAGGACCGGGGAGCCCCCCCCCACCCCCCCCCCCCCCCACTCGGTCGTCTCCCGCTGTGGCCTCTCGCGCCACTGCCTCCCCCCCCCCACCACCTCCTAGATCCCCCCCCTCCTCCCCCCACTCACCCCCAAGCGAAGTCGTTCACAGTCGGCGCTTTTCGTGATTTAACAGAAAACTGCTGAGAATGGGGGCCTGGTGGA